ACCTTAGACGTATTTTCGAAGCTCTATCGACAGTCGATGTCTAGAGGCGTACTGTCAAATTAATTTCGAAACTCTGGTGACACCCAAGGGGTACACTAGCTGTATATTCGAAGTCTTGGCGTCATCCAAAGGCGTTATTTCATATTCGTATTCGTATTCCTAATCCTATTCCTACTCCTATTCGTATTCGTATTCGTATTCGCATTCACATTCGTATTTGTATTCGTATTCGTTCTATCCTATTAGTTATATTCATATTCATATTCGTATTCGTTCTATTGTATTAGTTATATTCGTATTGGTATTCGTATTCGTTCTATCCTATTAGTTATATTCGTATTCGTATTCTCCTATTAGTATTAATCTTAGTTTATGATTAGTATGTTTCCTTATACAAAACATAATATAAAACTTAGATTGTAACATCTATTAAAGGAATCTACATTTAGTTTGACAATTCATTCTGCAATTCGAACAGATGGTTAGTATGATTTTTGGTATTAAAAGTATTCAAAATATGAAACATTTGAAAAGAAAATATTAAGTTTAAGTACAAGATTTCCTTGTACTTTTACTTGTATTCCCCCCCTGAAAACATTTGAAAAAGGGTAGGGGTATGAACTCACCGGTTGAGGAACGCGTCGATTTGGATCCTAAACGTCGGTTCATGGTCTGCAAACGCACAAGATTCCTATGTTTTATGAAAAGATACACATGTGCATCTAATTAGCACTTGAATAATTTATTTGTTAGGGACAAACACTTCTAATCGCGAAAACACTCCATTATAAGCGATTGGAGGGACCCGGGTGGCATTTAAGGACACATATGGCTTGGATATGGAGTTTACTCTTCAAGAGTAAACTCATACTAGAGTTTTCGGCCCTAAGTCCAATTCCCCATGAGTTTATAGCCGTAAACTCATGGTGGGGGTGTTTTATGGTGCAAAATGGCTTTGAATCAATTGGATAGATTAATTAGGATCACATCTAGGGCATTGGAATGGATTTATCACACATATGGACCATTTATTGGAGTTTACGACAGTATACTTGGAGTTTACGGCCATAAACTCCCCCTCACACTAACTCACTGATGTTTTGGTGGTCCTTAATTAATCACATGTGATTTCAAGCTATTTTACAAGTCCAGGGGTAAAATTTGGGCACCATTTGGCATAGTTTTAGGAGTTTACGGTCCAGGAACCCCTTTTGGGAGGGTTTACGGCCGTGAACTCCTAAGGGAGGTGTTTTCATTGAGTTTAAGGCTTCCAATACGTTTGTGGTTGATTCTAGAATTTATTCCAAGGCTATTGGTGTGTTTAAATGGCAATTTAACACCTTAGAAGGAGTTTACTCTCCATGATATGGAGTTTATGGCCCAAGCATGTTCTTGGGAAGTAAACTCATTTTTACTCCTCTAAATTGATGTTCAAGGTGTTCCAAGTCCAATTCCATAATTCTATAAGTCATATCTAAGCCTCAATGGTGTTTTAGAAGGGTTTTAGGGCATAAAACCCCCCTTTATGTGTGTTTACGGCCCAAGCATGCTCCAGGGCCGTAAACACATGAACAAGGTCCTATTCCATGATTTAAACTCGAATTTAAAGGTCTAAGATGCTATACTAGGAGTTAGGGTGGTTACCTTGAAGATTTGGGGCTTGAAATTGATGTTTTTGGACCTTAATCTTGAGTTAGAGGAGAGAGGTTAGAGAGAGAGTAGTGAGAGAGAGGAAAGGCTTCAAATGAAGTCTTTTGAACTTTAAATAGGTCCTAAGTTCTGGACACGGTGGAATTCTACCCGATACCGACGTTAAACGGGGATTTTGGTCGCACCCGATTAAGTTATTGAAATCCAGTGGGATAGAATTTGGAAATTTTCAGATAAATGATTTTGGGCCATTTTCATGAGTTTCTAAGGGATTTTAACACTCATGAGATTATAATAAACATATAAGTTTAAATAACTTAGCCCAGAAACGGAATCGGAACGAATCGCTATAGACGGGTTCTTTGGATGAAATGGGTTTCGGCGATGGACAACTTCAGGTTGTTACATAGGCAGGCATGGGGTGACAAATTTTGTATTCATATGACGCTTGAAGAAACGTAAAGGAGGTCACCGGTCATATTAGTACGGTTATACGACTCATAATAAGTATAAACTAACCTTTGTTCACGGGACTTCATTCTTCCATAGTTTTATTGTAATTAATAAAACTACATATCTATTTACTGGAGGGTATTGCAGGGACACAGTTTGCAGTTTTATTTTAGGAAATAAAACTACTATACATATTAGTGGTAACCAGGATTTTCAAACAAAATATACTTTTCATATAGAAATCATCAAACATGTTAGAAAATATGGGATTTTCTTGGTAAACATACTTTCATATTCAGAACTTGATAACAACGATTTTCGATACAAAATAAAATTTACTTATAATGGAAAGAAATCATTTATACAAACTCAGTGACTAGTTTTCAATACAAAAACATGCTTATGAACTCACCAGCTTTATGCTGATACGTTTTCAAAACCGCTTGTATTCTCAGGACAACAATAGATAGGTACCTTGCCAGCTTTTGGAGAAGGCAGAGCATTTTGGAGTCTCTTCTTTATCTTTTGTTTATATCGATGTGTACAAACTATATTTTCAAACTGATGTAAATATTCTTATTGTAATGTAATGGTTGTGTTTACTTTGATTGCTTTGTTATAATTGTTGTGATACTACGCATGACGTCGCCGCCCTCGGACGTTTCCATCGTTGTTTTTCTGACGCTTCGGGGGTGTGACAGTTCAAGCTTGGTGCAACAATTACAGATGAAAAACATTTTATAATTGTTCTGCTTTCTGATAACACAACACAAGACCTATTCGGTGCAACGTCCGATAAACTTATATCAAATGATGACATAAACCACAGAAAACCACTACCTGCAATTGCTACTTCTCTACAAGGAATTCCTAAAAAAATGAAACTTCGTATCACAAACACATCAACGGCCAACAACATTCGCTTTATCATTAAAAATATTGAAAAATCACCTCCTCAAGAAACAATATGCACATCACCAACAACAGACCATCCATCACCTTCAATACACACTGAAAAGGACTCTTCTTTAATTCCCCAACACAGTAGATTGAATGTCAGAAGATCATTACCATTTGAAAACCAAGGTAAATTTTAATTTGTTTTATACATAGACTACAAACTTGTATATTACAATTTCTTAAAAAAATACACAAACTGTTACCTATGACAATTTATTAATGTAGAGACATCAACTACAAAACATAAGAGCGCACACAAGACAAAATAAAAACACTCCCCTTGTACGTTGATGATAACCGCATTATCAGTTTTGTATAATATGTGTAAATATACATAAAACAACTGCTTACGTTTTTTAGTTTCTACTAAATGACATAGAAGTGAACGCTTTCTCACCAAGAGAAATGTATTGTAAATAACTGTTTAAAGTTATTACCTGTTATTTACGAATTTTATATAATATATGTAAAAGCACATATATCAAGTGGTTACCTTTTGTGTTTTCTATGATATTACATATAAGTAAACTGTATTCACAATGAGAAATGTATTCTATCTATTTATAATAACAACTTAAAGCTATCATGTTATAATGAAATAATAATTACATCATTCCATAAAAAATATACATAAAAACAATTTCAAATTTATATTCAACAAAACTTTAAAAAATTATACAAGTTCATACTAATAGTTTGTTCGTTTTTTACATTTTATCCCCCATCATCCTCACATAAATATATTTACAATTAACATAATTGAAGAACATCAAAATATAAAAAATAAGCAAAATAAAAATTTCTATAGACTATGATTACCTCTAATATCTATGATTACTATACAGACGTTACCATTAACACCATTGAATGTTTTCTACCTAACTAACTACACACACCTTTATAACTTTTTATAAAGGTTTTTTTAATTTGATTTTAAAAAAATGAAATTCATAATTATCCATCCATTTTTACTCTTTTCTTCAATTTAATTACTTATTATATAATAAAATTCATTACCATGTCTCCTATATACACACCTATGTCTAATATGTCATTATCAACTACAACCTACTATATCATTTTTTACCAACGAAAAGCATAAGAAGCCACATTGTATTATCAATTACTTTGCAGTCCATCGATAAGCAATGCACTCCATCAATAAGTAATGCTATAGCAAGGAAAACATCACACATGGAAGTCTATAACTAGACGTTAGGTCACTTACATGCACAAAGTGACAATATACCACACACATAAATTATATATTTCATAAATAAATACGAACCACACCACATAAAACATCATAAATATCAAAATGAAAAGATTTCAACAAAGGTTTAAAGATTATGATTAACTTCGTTAGAGAAATTGTTGACATACTCGAAGCAGCTCAATCGAGGTTACAAGAGAGTTTCAGCGTCGACGAAAACATCATGCTATACATAACAAATCACGTTGACGATGTTGACGTGCAAACACTGCATGACATGTTTGAGAAATCAAAAACAAAAGATCAATCCATGCAAGACAATATCTCTTTCATGTTGGGATCGATCCACAAAAGAATCGGAAAGTACAAATGCGCAATGAAAGACACAACCACCAAGTAAACACCCGGTTTGGTATACGCTTACTAAGTAATCATACCATACATCCGTGGCTCCTGTCAGCATGTATAATTAAATAAATTAGATGCTCTATGTAAATACAATAGTGTAAGAATAGGTGTAATCGTTCCAATGTTTATAAATATTTATAAAAGACGCCTAAATATTAAAGCAATCCAAATGTAATAAATTATGGATGCTTAACTTCTAACCACACCTCTGCACATCAAAGACACATATTCAACAAATAAGTTGCCCATTACACGCCAACTACAACACGTGTCGGCTAACATAAAAAAAAATAATCAAATAACCACTATAAATCCGATGCTAGACAACAAACAAAAACATAGTCGATACAAAACTTCCATAAAAAATTCCCATGACACCATGAAGGCCTGTGAAGTTCAGCACATGATCGACACAATCATCCGTCAGAAAATACAAACAACGAAAACCATTCGTACACTAAAACGCAACATTAGAGCAGCCAAAGCTATGCAAGAAACTCTAGCAAAAACATTAACGGAAAGACCACACTTTCTCAACTATGCAATCTCAACACAAATATTGGACACCAAAGACGCTTTCAACACAAAAGCAAGTAGCATAGTTGCAACATTGGAGGAAGAGATTAATGAAATCATCACCATGCTAAACAAAGTCCCAGACAATCTTCCAGCTAACTAAATATGTACTTCAAATTATTATGTTATGATGCATGTAATGTTTATTATGCTATTATGAAAAAGAAATTATGCTTTAATGTACGTGTTTCTTTATGTCTCCCTATTATACTACATAACTTTATATTAAAACATTTATACAATATAAGCACAACATAAAACCTTGTATAAAAACGACACTACTCATGCACAAAGTAAATCATCAACAATCTGAAACGGCGGCCATACGTTACATCATACATCATTATCATCTTGAAAAGTAACAGTCACATTAAACACCCAACAACCATATTAAATACAAAAAGTCCATACTTAAAAACCATCGTCTCCCTTCAACATTTCCAAACCACCACCATCCACAATCCAGATACAACTTACACAACAAAAATGAAACCGCAACAAATGGAAACCATCCTAACCAACCTCATTGCTCACTATGAAGCTGAAAAACTATCAATCAAGAACATGCAGGATGAATGTTGGGAACACCAAAGCTACAAGAAGGAACTGATGACAGAGATGGACTCCAAACCATCGTATGAAAACTACATGAGGATGCAGAAGCTAGTACTTGACAACAACTATGAGACTGCAAAAATGTTGAAGGCCATGCAGGAAATGGAAAACAAATATGACGAACTTATCAACAATCTCAAAAAAGAAATCAAGAGCCTCCCTGAAGACAAACACCCCTACGTGTAATATGTTTATTTGTTTTATAATCTTTTGATATGTTGCTGCGTTCAACTACTTCCTTTCCTAAATTTCTATATAAGACCTATCCAAAAATCTCTTGTATGTTAAATATGTCTTTATCAATATAATACTATATTGCAGTACATCATACAACCTGAAAGAAGAAAAAATAAAATGACTCAGCGCCAACGACGCGCATGATTCCTATCTAGTTAACTAATATTTGTTAAATTACATAATATTAATATTATAACCATCTTATATAGTATCATTGACAATTCAAGTCAACATAAAAAATTTTTGATCCATTTTTTTATTAACACTGTTAATTCATACATGTGACATCCCCATTTTCACGGCCAGAAAAGACCGATTTTGTTTATACTTTATAAAAATCAGAGTTCTTCTTTTAATAAAAATGTTGCGAAATTTGTTCCCAGAAAAAAATACGATAAATACGTTATTAAAACATTTTCGAAGAAACGTATTTTATTCATTTCAAAACGTTTGGGATGTCATCGTTAATACAAAAACATAAGCATAAACAGAACTTACATTTATTTATTCTAGTGATCTACATCTCTTTAAATCTCTTAGTTTAATGTGACTTCATATCAACACCTGTGATATAAATAAATTGAGTGGGTCAGGTTGGGAAACCTAGTGAGTACATAGGGTTTTCAACCCACAATAATATAATTTTATGTTTAAACAATCAAACAATCAACCCAATTACCCATCCCCATTATCTTCTTTAATCTTAAGGATATACCCTAAGAATCAGTCATTCTTCGTTCATTCATTCCTAAGGATCATCCTAAGGAATCGACACAAAGTCCATCGTTGCCACGGTTTACCACGGGCACTAAGTCTGCATAGTCACCGAGGTTTAGGCATCAAGTCTGCATGATCACCAAGGTTTAGGCATCAAGTCTGCATGATCACCAGGGTTTAGGCATCAAGTCTGCATGATCACTAGGATTTAGGCATCAAGTCTGCATGATCACCAGGGTTTAGGCATCAAGTCTGCATGATCACCAGAGTTTAGAGTACACCGGGTGAACACATCGTTCACAACACCTACAAGTTGCGAGCCTGCTAGTGTTCCACTGACTGTCTAGAATAGTCTGTGCTTGTCATCCATACTCTGCTGAATGACGGGGCCATCATTTGGGAAAAAGGCTTCTCACATCATCCACCTCTCACCCTAACCTCATGGTCTATAACACCTCTCAACTCATCATTCAACTCATATTCCATCTATTATATCTACCCATGTTTATCCCAACATTATCGTAGATATAAAATACATATACATTTTAAATCATTGAAAACATGTATAAAAATGTTCATCCAGCATAGACAGCAAGTATTCAGATAATATGCACACATAGCATGTAATTTATATAAAATACTTCATATCTATGTGTAAGAGGAAAGTAACTATGCACTCACCTGAAAGGTGGTGACTCAGCACTCGGACAGCGCTTCGATACTCTCAAAACAATTTCCTTCGATAACACCTAGTACCAATACCACTAGGGTTTAGTCTAATGATAACCGCGACAAATTAATTAGTCTGACTATTATTATTATTATTATATAAGCGTTAATAACACTCAATATAACTCATAATAATAGCCCAAATAATTATTTTAAGGACCTAATAACATTCCTATAATTATTCGAAAGCTATATTAAAAATTGCGTAAGCGTAGCTCACTTACAGCGAATTTTATCGAAAACCGGAACTTTATTTGGAGCAGCGCTTCGAAACCGAAAGACCCTTTTTCTCGGGACTCCGGAAGCCTCAGGGCTTCCCTTGGGAGCTAAGGGATTTTCCTAGGGTTTAGGAGGGGTTTGGAACCCTAGAGAGAGAAAGAAGTTAGAGAGAGAAGTGAAAAATGGTGTAGAAAGTCGGCCATCTTCGCATCTATTTATAGGGGCTGGGGGCTTCGGACTACGCTGCGCGTTCAGCAGCTACGCTGGGCGTAGTCCCGGATAAGGTTGCCAGCTTCGCACAGCTGGCTCGCACTCGGACAGGACCCGGTACGCTGGGCGTACCGAACTCGAACGTGGGGCGTAAAGCGACGCTACGTGGCGTGATCCGAAGCGAAGCCTTGGTCAGCAAGCAACGGCTCAGAAGCGGCCACGTCATCAACCTCTCGCAGATTTTGCAACTTTGCACTCCGACTTCTAAAAATCATATCTTTCGGATACGAGCTCTGTTTTCGACGTTCTTTATATCCACGTGAAGGCGGGAACATACTCTACAACTATCGTTTAGACTTCGTCGGCTATTTTTGACTTTATTTTAAATTTTATATTATTAACAGGTCGGGACAGGATTGGTCCGTTAAATCCTCATAACTTCTTCATCCGACATCCGTTTTCGCCCATGTTTTTCTCGTTATGATACTTTTATCGAGATCTTCGATTCTCGTTTAGGTCGTGTCAGCTGAAAACCGCTCGATCTAATATTCGAATTTCGGGTTGTACATTGCTAATCCGAAACTTCGAAAAATCATAGCTTCTTCATACGAAGTCAGATTTGGGCGTTCTTTTTATCGATGTTCTTAGTTTAACACATTCTATGACTTTTGTTTAGATCGTTAAGGCTAAATCTCACTCTGTCGTAAATTCAGTATTTACGTTTCCCAGTATCGTGTCGGTTCCGTCGCGAAACTTCAACGGGTCATAACTTCTTCGTTATAACTCGGATTTCGGTGTTCTTTATATGTACGGAAACCTTGAGACATATTCTACAACTTGGTTAAGATTATTTATTCTAAATAATCTTTTGTCGAAAAGTCATTTTCGACCCCTATTGCCTCTAAATTCACTAGCCCGGATCTACAGGTGTTACAATATACATCTGAGCTTCAGTCCTGGATTCGTCACTGTAGATCAAAGTGAAAAACCAACAAATTAAGTTCTCTCGTAACCGTCAAAATGGTAAGGGTCAATATACGATATACAAATGTTCTGCCATTTTTTTTGTAAATATTTTGCAAACTACTACATATTGGTAATTATTCTAATTTTTTGTTTGAATGTTGTGGTTCATCCAACTCACCCTCAAAATATCATACATTATTTCCAAAGGAAAATAAAAAGCCACGGTGCTTATATTTGGCTGCTAAGTACCTCTCCAATAGAAAAAAATAGATTGACCAACCCACCTCTTAAATATCATGCATCTAGAAAGGTTTTTATCTAGTACAGAAAGACTTTTAGGCAGAACTTGGGTTAGACTTTGGTTGAGCAATGGTAAGCTGATTCGTTTATGGGATGATGTTTGTGTTGGATTAAATATCTAAGCCCATAACTATAATTGATATATACTTGATTTGATAGTAGCATGGTCTTTTTTGGTTGCTTTCACTCTAGCAACTTGACATGATGACTTTTGGAGAGAGAGGTTGAGTTTATTGTTTGGAATGATAAATTGATTTATTAATGTATTATAAAAATAGTATATTAACTAGAAATCATATTTAATTAGTATTTAATTAGAAATTAATTTTGGGATTAAAGGAACTGATTAAAGGAACATGAGTTGTTTTGCAAATCATTAATAGTTGTGAAACTAGGCTATTGGACTCCTTAGATGGTAGTGGACGAAAACCATAAAGAGGCCTTATAGGTTTTGTCTAAGGCCTCTAAATGAGGAGTTCATAGGTTGCTTAAGCCGTAAGTAGGAAATTAGGGCTTCCTTCAAAAAAAACCTAGCAGCCCACAACCATATAAAGACCCCATCACCTTTAGATTTTCAGGTAATGCTTGATTTTGTAAACCTTAGTCGAAATTCTAAAGTATTCCCTTATATCTCCTTTCATCCTCTTGCTAATGGTGTTTGTAAGCCATTAAAGGTGTCACATTTGAGGCACTAAGCTTTCAAGAGTCAAGGGATCTACAAGGTGTTATTGTTATTGCTACATAACAAGTAAGGTAAACATCAAAACCCTTTATTATGTAATTGTTGAAAATTATATGCTAGATCTAGGGTTTTGTTTTGGTATTCAATTTGCATGTTCAACTAGTGAAATACTTAGATCCAAAGCAATTAGGGTTGCATGATCACATAGATTGTTGTTATGCTCAAAACTCATCAGTGGTATTAGAGCCTAAGATATTTTTCAGTTGAATTTGATGCATATGTGAATTGTCCAAAGGAGGGGGAACAAAATTCATCAATCTATTTATTGAACTCGACGAGTTCCTCATGGGACTCAAATAGTTGGTTCAACTCGACGAGTTCACTGTCCAGAACTCGACGAGTTAACCCTTCAGATCCTTAATTTTTCGATTTTCATATCTTTATTTGATTAGGATAATTACCTTAATTCGTTTTTATTGCTTAAGATTAAATTTTCTAAAAAGGTAATGGTATATCATTATCAAAATAATGATTTGATTAAATTTTGGATAAAGATAAAATTATTTTGTTAATTTACAATTTAACCAAGTATTTTGAAAAGTTTCAAAAATACACCTTATGGTTTTACAATTTAAAATTTAATTAAATAATTTAATTTTGAAATCTTAAATTTAAGAACCCTAGTATTTTAAAATGTTTAAAGTACATCCGTATGGATGGTGTTAATAATTTAATTAAAAGTTTAATTAAAATATAATTAACAAATCAATAAAAAGGTTTAAGATTAATCAAATTAAAAGTTTAATTTATTAAAAGATTAAACCCCTGGTATTTTAAAAGTTTAAAATACACCATTATACTATTATAGAATTAAAAATTTAATCTCTCTCTCTCTCTCTCTCTCTCTATATATATATATATATATATATATATATATATATATAAAAGAAAACTCATTCTTATCGTTAGTAGGCCTCATTCACAAATCTTGTCTGTAAGCGGTGTTTAAGGAAGCGGACTGTAAAATGACCGCCATTGGGTATCCATTCTTACCCACCGCACTCCTGACTAGTGGAGGGTTGTTAGCCGAATGGGTAGGATAGGATACTAAACTCGCATAAAAAAT